TCCTGTATCCAATACTATCACTGATGGTATTGATGTCTTTCCAATATACACATTTTAAAATTATTTACTTAAGAAGATAGCTTAGGAAAGATTCATTTTTAATACATAAATTTTTAAACCAATATATTTGTATTGTGATCATCTACAGCTGTAGCCCTGAGCTACTAGTACCTCATGTTGCTGGGTACAAACACATGTAAACCTTGTAATTTGTCATAAATCAAGAGACACATTATAACAGATAGATGAGAGTGTACAAACATACAGGTAATGTAACACTACAACGTACCTGTGAAGTAAAGTAGTAGTATTCCCATTTTGCAGGTGTGAAAGAATGTGGTGAACAAATTGGCTATAAACAGTTTGATATGAGGGTTGAATACAAGATCACTGCCCTTAAATGCCCAAGTTCCTTAAATTCAGATAACATTTTCTTTCTTAATGTTGCCTTCCTCAGCACTCATTCTAAGTCTGTTATCCAACCATTGGAGGTGAATAGGATCATTGAAGACTCTTAGATCATATCTAAGATGTGGTGAAATCTCGTAGATCTTTATCACTTTTTACTTGCTTTCATTGCAAGCTTACTATTCTTCATTGCATACTTACTATTCTGAGATAAACATACTTTTTATACTTACATAAGATAGTGGTAATGTATAACATAGGATACCTTCCATAACAACAATTTGATGTCATAAAAAGTTTGATTTTTCTGTAAAAGTGAGTCCAAAGTAAAAAGCAGTTGTAACGAGTTCTTCAGTAGCTAGCAAAAAGAGTAAGAAGAGTTCAGAAAATGAGAAAAATATTTATCTTCCTATAAAATTCCCATTTCCAATAACCATAGTTCCTTTCAATTTTTTGGTGGGTTCCACCAATTGTTTCATCCCCCTCTATAATTGCATGTAAATTTTAATAGCTGACACATAAATTAGATTACAGGAGTTTGGGGATATTAAATATTTTGCATTTACTTGCAATAGTTAAATCATTTTTCAGTAAACCATTCTTTGTCGGTCACTGGAGTAATAAATCAGAAAAAGGAAATTGGCAAACGTGATTCACTTAATTCCTATTTTTGAGTATTTGAGAACTATGTGTAGCGAAGCAGTCGTGGAAGGAGACTAGGTAGCTTATAATATTATGCTCTTTTCGTGTTTCTGTGGACTGACCTGGGTAGCATATGTTAGAATGAGATCATAAGGCACAATAAAAAAATATTTAATGAACATATAGTATGTAAAACTGATGTGCATGTTTGTCTTGGCACGTATATATTGTTCCTTCATATTGGAATATTAACGTTTTCTTTTCTGTAGACTACCCAGGAAGTCTGTAATAAATACAAAACATAGCTATCCACTGACTCATTGATACTTTGTAATAAATACTTTATCTACATATGTGTACTAGAAGCCATGAATGTCTTTTGATGATGCACTTACGGTGCAATGCTCCCCCCCGCCTTTTTTTTTTTTCCAAATCAATGTCAATATATACAGGCATTGGTTTGTGTTTTAGTTTCTGAAAACCTTCAGTTAGCTTAACTTTTTTTGTTTGAAAATAATTTTAATAAAAAATGTTTTAAAACAAGCACGTACACATAACCTTCTTCAGTGGCCTTGTGCCACCTCTAGAGGATCTATTAATGGTGCAACTGCGTAGATCTGTTGACAGTGTGGGTTTGGGTCCAGAACCATCACATTTTAGCTGGGCTTTGTCATGAAAAGTAAATCTCACCACTGTTCTTCATGGTTTTTGAATCTTTGGCTCAAATTTGACATAGGATAGAGGTCTCAAAGATAATTAAGTCCCATGAGTTTTATGAGAATCCTTGCCTGGATAAAGAGGAGACCCTAGCAGTGACCTGAAATGAGGGGAAAGAGCTGCAGCGAGAGATCCCGTGTTGCGAGACCACTGGAGAGTCTGCGTGGGAGAGTCTGTCTAAATGCCCTACCGGTGGGAAAAGCCTCAGCTATGGCTTTCAGTCAACCATAAAACATAAATCCATAGGAAACCAAACTTCCTTAGTTTTTATTCTCGAGGAACTATTAATCAGTTGGTTATCAGAATATTCAGAATAGGTTTTAATACGGTGTTGAAACTGTTAGAAAAGTGGAGCGTAAACTCTGGTACTTTTCCCACCAGTGGAAAAAGTTTTGTCCAAAAAAGGTCCTGAGATAGATTAGAGCTCTGTGCGTGGAAGAAGATTGTTTCACTTAGAATTAAGCTGATGCTCCTGGGACCTTGGCTTTTTCACCTAGAAATACCTGGCAGAGAGGGTGGTGTTAATGGAAGATTTTTCAGCATCTCTCCTGTTTTGTTAACCTGACAAAGCCAGAATGGGTTGACATCTGACTTTCCTTAAATGTGGTTATTAGAGAGGGAAATCTTGAGCCAAAAATATTAGTTTGTTCACTCATGGCTGATTGTTGGGGAGACAGTTATTAATCTATACGTTGTGTGTGTGCCCAATTTTATAAAAATGAGACTTTGGTTAAATTGCACTGGCAGACCTGCTTAATATTTTGAAAATAAGTGGTTATAATTAGTTAAGCTTGCAACTTCTCTCTCAAAAGATTAGTCAAACCTCTTTTATTTTGGACATTATGCAATTTCAGGAACATATTGTATGGCTCACTGTGCTATAGATGAATTTTGACTTAACTTTGGATTTAAAGCCTTCAGCTTCACTTGACACTTCCTGTTTCTTGTAATGGGTGAAATTGTGCAAATAATTACGTCTTTTTGAGATATTTAAAAAAGTGGCCATCTATATAAGCATCTATTTTACTTGAGGATTTTCACCACTAGATGAAAGATGGCTGGTGAGCAGTAACCCCTCTCAGTTCTTGGACGAGTGGTCTCTGTTGACAACTCAGGCTGAGGATATCCTTGGTGTAATAAAATCTTAAGGAACTGCAGAAGCATTTTTCTAAGTCTGTCTTATTATCTGTTTCTTTAAATGTCTTAATTTGTTATTAATTGTATGGGTAGAGTAGATTTTAAATTGCTGGGCACATGGAAGTCTTTAGCAACTGTGGATTTTTGTTACACCATCCTAAGGACTTTCTTTGAATGTTTTGTGGCACAGACGGTGATGTGAGAGTCTGTTTCCTATACATGCTTGAACTCCAGGTATCAGAAATACCTAAAACATTTGGCTCTCTACTGGTATTTTACTACTGTTGACTGTTTACAGTGGGATTATTGGGTGAAAATCCCTTATAGAGCTCTGCTTTAGGATTACTATTATGCCTTTGAACGGAGAGAAGTAATTTTTCTACCTTTATCATCTTTTAAAAAGAACAACTAATAACAGCTTGGAACCAGGCAAATTTTTTTCAGGTTAACAGTGTTGTTATTAGCACCCCCTTGCAACAAACTAATATGCTTTGCTGGATATATACCTTTCCTGTGGTGTATGTCAGTGTGCAGGGGATTGTTTTATGACTACCTGTAGTCTTTAATAGGTGTCCCCTTATGTTTTACGGCGGACCAAAACTCGTTAGACCTGAGTAGAGTTTTAGCTAGATTTTATAGTACTGAATTCCCATGGAAAGCAGTTTCACTAAAATCAACATTTTTATGAACATAAAAATTGGGAAAACATTAATTCCATTGATTTATAATAATATGTAACTTGGATGGTGCTAGCATGCAGAACTATTCAGGGTGGAGCTTCTCTGCCCTGACCGTGGAAATCTCCCTGAGAGTGCTCATGGACTACCTCCGCTTACTTTTATTTGGGCAGATATTGTAAAAGAAACTGGAGAATCGGTAGCCCTGCAGGATCAGTTTGAGGATATTCTATGGGGGAAAGCGTGACCAATTTTGTTTGGTTTTAGGTAACGTCTGTGGGATGCGATTATTGGATGCACTTTGTATTTCCTGGTAGTAATAAATATTGGCGATCTCATAGAAAAAATAGCCAAGGGAATCATATACTGAGGAGTCTTCTGCAGCACTGATTCTAGCCAAATACCTCTTCCGTGCTCCTCTTTTTTTCTTTTTTGTACTAGCTGTGGGAATTCATGCTTTCACTCAATATCCAAAAATCCTTTTGTGTTATCAGTAAATATTTTAATGTTTCACAGGGGAATCTAATATTTCCTGCTTACTAAAACTGTGATAATAGATAAGCATACGTAGTTGAACAGTGGTGCATTTTGTGAGAAGTCTTCTGTGTGTACCTTGGCATCTTTATATGAAAGTTGTCCCCTTTGACCTTTATTTATTTATTTTGTTTACTCTATTCTCATATGAGATTGTTTTCCCCATGGTATTTTTAGTTGACAAATGCAAATGTTCCTCCCTTTTAATTTAAACAAAAAAGCCTGAAACAATTATCAGCTTCTACAAATAAAACATATCTTTGGAGCCATCTAAACTCTGGCATTAGAAGTTAGTCTACTCTACCCACATGTTTTTCAGGTAAAAACTCTTATTTTGTTTTCACGCAGGATAACAGAAAAGCCTGACTAATTAGGCTGACTAATGCACTATTTTTTATGGTCAAGGAAGCTTTTGCTGGTCTGTAGAACTGAACATAAGACCCTGCTTGTGAAATACCACAAATTTTACTGGCACAATTGTTTGTTCCACTGTATGGTGAGCTAGTTAGAAATGGTCCAGTTCCCTCACTAGGTAAACACAGAGTTGGCAAAACCACTGACGGGGGGGGG